AACATAGTGAGTCGCAGCCCCCCTCCAACAAACCCCCCCGCCCCGGTGGGGGGGGTGGGAAAAACGGGGGAGTGAAAGCCCAAACATTTTCAAGTTGCTACGGTTGAGAAACACTGGTTTAATTGATACAACTAGATTATGATTGGGATGGGCAAATTATGACTGGGATTGGGAAATAAAATTGAGATGTAATTCTGAGTTCAAGATTTTAAAATATCAGCCACTCTTATTGTGCAACTGTTCATTCTGCTTTGTGGATAACATGAGGGTAACCAAGAAGGGGGAGGTTCAAGAGAACTTTCTCATTAGAGACACCTCTTATAGGTTACATGCAAATGGTTGCCCCAGATTTTTCAAACCATCACAGGCTGAACAAGCTATAATGCCTTGGTTCGTACTAATAGGGGATAGGCAACCTGTTGGTCTCCAGATGTCTGGGACTATCACAGCCTCTGTTGGTTGTTTGGTTTTCACACTAAAATCAAAACAAGACAATTAAATCGTGGCTTGAGCGTTACATTCAAAGCAGACTACAGAAAAGTTAACTCATAAAAGATAGAAACATAAGTGATGTCACTGGCCTTCCTTTGTCCCTGTGGGAAGTCCATTCTCCTACACGAAGTTGGGGCAGAACTAAAATTGGAACTGGTTCACCTCTTCTTAACCAAAAGGCTAGATCAACCCTCCCTTATAGAACTGTTTCCCTAAGCATGTCTCTTCAAAGAATGAGCGTTTTTATGCACTCAGCAACCGCAGCTTCCCATCTCTTACCACAGTGAATCTTTCAAGAAGAAAATTATATCCAGCAATGATATGTCAAGTCGATCAGCTTGAGGGCTTGTTAAGCCTCTTTTGATGTGGCTCTGTAGCAAACAAGATCCAACCAAGGGACACGATCAACCTTGTGATTTCTTATGCAAACTTTCTTTTTTTTTTCTCTCTCTCTTATAGTTGTTTTTAAAGTCTTACAGCACTATAAAAAGGTAAAGGTAAGCAGTCACAGAAGCTTTTACAGCACTGTGAGATACCAGCTTAGTGCACTGTGTGCAACCAGCCACTGTAGTTTGTACATTTATGGTGTATCACTTAGGACAGGGTTCCTCAACCTCAGCAACTTTAAGATGGGTGGACTCCAACTCCCAGAATTCCCCAACCCATCTTAAAGTTGCTGAGGTTGAGGGACCCTGACTTAGAACAGTGTTTCTCGTGGTCCTAGGACCCCTGGGGGTCCCCCAAAACCCTCTCAGGGGTCCTCAAAATCAAAATTATTTGCCAGACTATGTTGAAAAATAATAAAATATTAAAATCCCACCAAACCATTGTGAATATTGATCAATATAACCCAT